GGTCCGGGCTGGGGACTCGAACCCGCCACCTTAGGTGTACGTGGCTGGCGCCTTAGCCGGTTGAGCTATAGGCGCCGAGCCAAAACTTACTTTCAACAATATGAAAATCATATGCTAGGAAACTCTACCCCTAAAACTTACTTTCAATAATATGAAAATCATACGCTAGGAAACTCTACCTCTAAAACTTACTTTCAACAATATGAAAATCATACGCTAGGAAACTCTACCCCTAAAACTTACTTCCAACAATATGAAAATCATAAGATTATTTACTGTAGCAGTGTCTGTAAGTGAAAATACTGAAACAACCTGAAGTTATACATAGGATAATGATACACCTACACAACCATGGCTTACTATGAAGCTTTAAAAAACAGTGAGGAAGATCTCAAAGAACTGATGTGAAATAATTTCTGAGATATACCATTAAGTGAAAAAAGCAAAAATATAAAATACATCTATGCTACCTTTCATATGAGAAGGAAGGAAGGGGAAGAGAAAATATTCATGATTTTGCCCACTTATGAAAAAAAATACAGGAAGAATAAACTAGAAATTCATCAGACTATTTACCTCTAAGCAGGGCTCAGTAGGAACAGTGTAGTAAGGATGGGGGACAGTAGTAACAGTTCTCTGAGTGTACCTTTTTGTAGAAGTGTTAGAACTGTTAGAGCCATAGTAATGTTTCACATACATAAGAAAAATTAGAATCAATCAGTACTGAAGGGAGATCCCCAAATGGAAGACGAACTAATAAATTAACCAAATTATCTTATAAAAGAATAACATAGCTACCCAAAAAGAGGTAGGAAAGAAAAGAACTAACCTAAGTAGCTCTGGAAAAGAATTTTTTGATGGTATAAAGGTAAAGACAAGAAGAACAGTACACAAATACTTCAGTTAATAAAATTTGTGTTCCACATTTTTATGAGTTAGAAATTCAGAAACTACTAAGCATTTATTCTAGGATTAAACAAGTAAATAAATACATTATTGATACAAATCAGGTTTCTCAATTTTGGAGAAAAGTTACAAATAAGGAAAAGGAGAAGGCTAGAATGAACCCTGTAGTGTTGGACTGAAATTGGAGTTATCAGTCTGAACTCATACCTTTCAATATATATGAAGATGGACAGACACAGAATTAAACAGAGAAGTGCATAAATATTTATTAGTACACTTACGTATCTTTCCTAACTCTGTCCACTGAGAAGGTCTAGAAGCAATGACATGCTGGTAGCAAAGAGTACACCTAATACCAAGATCTTGGTTTCTAAATACTATCCTTCATTGAGGGAACTGGGGATCCCTGGAGGAGTAATTAATTCTAGGGCTCAAGAAGGAATTAAAAAAAGAAAAGTAAGACAAGCCTGTAGCATCTTGTGGTACTATTTAGCAGAAAATGTTTACAAAATGACAGGTACAGCTCGGCGCCTATAGCTCAACCGGCTAAGGTGCCAGCCACGTACACCTAAGGTGGCGGGTTCGAATCCCCAGCCCGGAACCGCCAAAACAACAATGACGGCTGCAACCAAAAAATAGCTGGGCGTTGTGGCAGGTGCCTGTGGTCCCAGCTACTTGGGAGGCGGAGGCAGGAGACTCGCTTGAGCCCAGGAGTTGGAGGTTGCTGTGAGCTATAATGCCACGGCACTCTACCCAGGGGGACAGCTTGAGGCTCTGTCTCAAAAAAAAAAATGACAGGTACATGTCAAAACAACATAGGAGCCAACTCCCAGTTGTCAAAGACGGGACAATTTAAGCAACAAAACAAATAATGATAGTATTAGTTAAAAGCCACAGAATTTTTAAAAAATCCATAAACCCATGCTAAGATAAATAATCGAATAAAAAATAAACTGGGGAAAGGAAGTTTACAGTGGATTTCCAATTATTAAATGTAGAAGCAATGATGGAAATGGAGTTTCACTATCAGGCAAATACAGTGTAAATTTTGCAGGCTAGAAACATTTATGAAGGCTAAAATTAGTGAATGAAAGTATGATGAGAAACAGGATATTTTCAAAGTCTTAATATATGCCTCCATAAAATAATCATCAATTACAAAGGGGATAATCATAACTTAAGAGTGAAGAAATGTGACAGATTTCACCTTAAACAGTATATAAAGTTAACATCACCAGGAAGAAGTCATGTTAATATCGTAAACCCCTTGTTATGATGCACTAAAAGGGGGACAACAGTATTCCTGTGATATTCTTGCCTCAATTCAAAGTTTCAATAATTACGAGAAAACAGCAAGCAAATCCAAATTGAAAAACACTATACAAAATAACAGACCAATGCTATTCAAGGGTCAAGGTCATAGAAGACCAAAAAACATTTTTTTTAAAAGGCTAAGAACTATCACAGATTGGGGTAAACTAAGGAGATGTGGTAACTAAATGCAACATACGAATACTCTGTACTCTTTCTGCAACTTTTCTATAATCTTAAATTATTTCCAAAAAAAAAGACATTTTATTGTTTTTTTAAAAGCCTACACACAAAAGAAATATGTGTCTGTTACTGCAAATCTTCTGAAAAATTTACCATTGGTTTTAATTTTTAATTGTAAACTAAGCTGTTTTACCAATTGTTTGACATATAAATTTGTAGATAACTGTGAAAGGCCAAGACTCAGCCTTAATTTGCCCCCGGCCTTGAGAACATTTACTAAGCTCCCCACCCCATTCCCTAAGTGGTACTATGAAAGATCTAGGAAAGAACAAGTTTGGCCTTCAAGAAGCTTTCAGTATTAGCTGGGTGTTGTGGCAGGTGCCTGTAGTCCCAGCTACTCGGGAGGCTGAGGTGAGAGAATTGCCTAAACCCAAGAGCTAGAGGTTGCTATAAGCTGTAACACCACGGCACGGCACTCTACTGAGGGCAACAAAGAAAAAAAAAAGAAGCTTTCAGTATTTACCAAGGTTCATATGGCTGTTTGACCTAACTCTAATTAGCTTGTCTGTAATTCTGTTAAAGAATCTGCAAAAGCAGTTTCCTTTGGTTGAGTTGCTCACCACACAGGAAGCCAGTTACTGGGATAATAAGGATTGTCAAAGAAGAAAGGAAATGTAGAGCATGTCAACCAGGAGGTGGGAGGATTACATTGCCTCAAATCTGCCTCCCCAGCTGATGGGATCAAGGGTTTTTCTAGAGGTGAAACAAATAACTACATGAAGTGAGTGAGCATCATTATATGTTTGGGGCTGAATGCAGGGCACAGTGAGAAATCATTTTGGCACACACATTGCATCATCAAAAAATGGCCAATAAGCCTCTCCCAGGGTGGAGTTTTTAATACTGTAATGAGCTAGGGGTTAACATTGGTCATCCTTTTGGTCTTGTGTGCAGGAAAGATGTGGAGAGTAGGTTGTTCAGCAGCTCCTTGGACAAGATCTGTGATACAGCGCAACTTATCCTTACCTTCTCTGAACTGACAGGTGGTGTAAGGCCTGGTAGTTATCTCACGTCTGCAAGGAAGTTCAATCCATTACTGGAAAAGAAAAAAACAAACCTCAAAAAGGAATGAATCAATGAAAGAGAAAGTTACAAAGTTCTGGTCAGCAAATATTACTGGCCCGGGGAACTTGGAACATAAGAGAACTACAAAACGTGTTTTTGTTCATGGAGCTTGCTGATAGTTATGAGAATCTAATTTCTTTTTTTTTTTTTTTTTGAGACAGAGCCTCAAGCTGTCCCCCTGGGTAGAGTGCTATGGCATCACAGCTCACAGCAACCTTCAACTGCTGGGCCCAAGCGAGTCTCCTGCCTCAGCCTCCCAAGTAGCTGGGACCACAGGCACCTGCCACAACGCCCAGCTATTTTTTGGTTGCAGCCATCATTATTGTTTGGCAGGCCCAGGCTGGATTCAAACCCACCACCTTAGGTGTATATGGCTGGCACCTTAGCCACTTGAGC